ATGAGTCATAGAGATGACACAAAATCTATAGATAAAGTGAAACAAATACAAATAATTAATTGTCGCTTTTCTTTCTGGAAAGTTGACCACAAAAACAATCAAAAAACGAGGAAACTCGGGTTGGGTGTTTACTTTTTGTCAGCTGTATTGCTTTTTATGTTTTTATGGACCTTGTCGCAGAGGCGGATTTAGCGGGGGGAAGGGGGGCGGATGCTTCCCTCAGTGATTTGACCCCCTGCCGACCCACAGGGTCCCCCCTTTGTACTACTTTGAAATATCCATTTTTGGCGACGGACCGTAAAAATTTACTAAATGCGCCTTTGGCGCCAATATAAACTAATTTTGATGGGGAACGCGAGCCGAATAAACGCGATTTTTTGGTCAACGTTTTCCAAAAATTGTTTAAATATATTTTTTGGCCCGTTTTTTGTTAAAGTTTTGCCTGCAGCGTAAAAAATCAAAAAATTTGGCCAATAAAGGAACTTTTTACTGCTTCGGGAGAGCTCAAAAAATCAATTAGGTCGACAAAAACTTTTTTTAAAATCTGAAGCCCCACCCCCCCTAGATTCGCCCCGGCGTTATCGTCATTTAAAATAACATTCAGAAAGTTGCTCTAGGAGACGCCAAAAATAGCAATGAGAATCAGTGCAAGGAATTATTGCAAGACAGTCCGGTTGTTAAAAACTGCTAAAAATAGTAAAGCGGGTTCAAAGGGCTGACAAAATGACCTAGTTGATTCCTTAACAATTTTTGAACTAATTTGAAACCTAAAAAGCTATTCGATTCTCAAATCCTCCCCTGTTAAATAGTTGAAGGTCAAATTAAATAAAAAGGCCAAGTTAATCACAGCCTTGGGTGCAAATTCGCGGCTATTATTTAGCTCAAATTTTTGCGTTGTACGCTCGAAGGTACTTCAGACCTTATTTTTTTTAATTTGGATTGTTTTTAACAGACCTAGACCCGCCTTTTTTTATTTTGTTCTTCTTTTTTACTGTATGAATAGATTCTTCTTAATTAGATTTTTTCAAAAGTGAAACAGACCAAATTTCAGCCTAAGTTCTTTCAAATTAAGGAAGAAGAATTTCGAAATGAAAAAAAAATTGCTTCAGAGCACTCCGATGTTTTAGTGAAGCTTGAGTATAATTTTGCTGATTTTATATGTCTCTATGAGCTTAGACTATAATTTCGTACTAGAAAGCTTCGCATCAAATTAATTTATCAAAATTGACAAATTCTATAGTTTTTAAGAAGTATCAAGACGATAAGTTTTTCGCTCTTAATCAGAATGTCTATTTGAGATGGAAATATTGAGAAACGTTCTATTTCTATCTCAAAAAGTTCAATTCAATCACGCATTATGTACTGTGTCAGTAGTAAAATGAAAATTTTTTGGCGTCTCAGTTATGAGAAAAGCTAAACAAAAGGCCAAAATTTATCATCATGTTTTTCAGTGACCAGCTTTTTTTGTTTTTCTTCAGACAAATTTTGACTTTTTAACCAGCTAATTTTGAAAGGAGTTTCTTATGCATTCAAAAAGTATCCGTGTTTTGAGCTCAAAAACAAGGTTCTTCGTTTGTGACGTTATGGCAGTTTAAAAGTGCCCACATGAAAACAATCCGGCTCAGAAATGGTTCCAGACAAGATGTATTGCTTACAAAGCGTGAAAAATTTTGTTCCGACTTTTTTAAAGAAAGTAATGGAATATTTGTGCTGGGGAGATTTTTTTCTTCAGACGAAATTCGACTTTTTAACTAGCCTTTTTTAACAAATTTTTTTTATATCATTTCAAAATTTTTGTTTTTCTGAGCCTAAATTTGAAAAGATATTTCTGTGATCTTTTTTCGTAAAATTATGGCGATTTAAAGATTGCCATTTTGGCCAATTTGGGACAATTAATGCGCGATATATTTCGCACTATTACCGCGTAAGCAGAGATTTAATCCGTCTTAGAAATTGTTCCAAATTGGTTGAAGAAAGCTTATTTGAAAAAAAAAATGATTTGTTACTAGGAGCGAAATTGATCACTTTGTATTTTATATGGCGTGTGGGGGGATGATGTTTACAAAAATTCTCAAATTAAATTTTTTTTTAACTTTCTGTAACCCTATTTTTGTGTATACTGCTCCATAGAACTTAAGAGGCAGTCGGAAAAATCAGGATTTCCCCCTGATGCGAGAAATTTTGTATACCTTTGTTTCACTCTTTTTGTTTTTTTTAGTTATGTTTTTTTTTCTGAATTTTGATCTATTTGTTGATTTCTCAAAAACGGTTTTTTTTTTCATTTTGACCTTAAGAGGAGTAAGAGAATTCGGGGTTTTGCAGTGTTACCAGCAATCTTGTTTACATTCATTGCAATACAAATACAAATTTTGGATGCGATATCGAACTTTTACGGAAAATAATTGATTGATACTTAAAAGTCAATTTCTACATAATTAAAAAAAAATTATAACCTGCACAAAACAGATAATAATGATATTTTTTGGACGACACTTTATTCCATTTTGATTAAGATAGTATAATACAATTGAAAGTTCAAATCTTTTTGTGTGGTATTCTCCATCTTTGCCTAATAAGTTGAAAATTGAATTTTTTCTATGCATATTTTTTGTTCTTTTTTTCCAGTTTACTCTGATTTTGTTTGCGAATTTATCTAACTAAATTACAGCTGAAGGTTGAAAAGGGCTCGCGGAATATGACATACCCTTGAGATTTTCAATTTTCGAATAACCGAAGGGTCTCCCTTTTGGTATTAGTTTGCAGCATTCAATTTTGATCAATTGAACCTTATTTTTTCAAAAAGCATTCTTGGTATTTCAAGTATTCTTGTTAAGTTAGGACCACGCACCTAATTTTTTTGCTTAAAACATCCTGAAAAATCTTCAAAAATGGTATGCTAGCTTTTTAGTGATGTTTTTTTTAACTACTTTAAATTTTTTGATTCATCAGCCAAACCCGATACTACTAAAACAAAGCTTAACAAGACTGCTCGTATCATGGCGAAACCCTGAATGTTCCAACTGCCTCTTAAGGTCTATGGAGTAGTAATTACATGAAAAAATTAAATGTAGTTAGAGAAAAATATGTTTTTGTTTTTTGAGATTTTTTGTGAAAACCATCCGTCCACACGCCATATAAAGTAAAAAGTGACAGATTTCACTCCTAGTAACAAATCAACTTTGACAAATAAGTTTCCGTCAACCAATTTGGAACGATTTGTAAGACGGAATAAATCTCCGCTTACGCGGTAATAGCGAGAATAATGTCGCGCGTTAATTATCCCAAATTGGCCAAAATGGCAATCTTTAAACTTCATAACTTTACGAAAAACAATCACACGTGAAATATATTCAAATTTAAGCTCAAAACAACAAAATCTTTTGAATGATATAGAAAAAATTTGGTCAGAAATTGATAAGTAAAAATTCAAAAAATGGCTGAAGAACAAACAAACCCACCACGAGCACAAATCTTTTCATAATAAATCTTCCCCCACAACCAATGTTAGGTATGATGTGATATACTTCGTACGTTCTAAGTACTTTTTGGATAATTTTTGTGTCTCAATTCAATTTAGAATGAGTTCTGAGATAGTTTTGTTAATAGAAAAATGGAAACTGTAATCTATAAATTACCTCCAATCACAGTTTTCAAATAACAATCTTTTCATGACAAATTGTATTGTTATAATAAATGCTTTAATAATAATATTGATATTTTTTCAGATTGATATCTGTGCCTCTATATCTTTCAGATGGTAAAAACTTGTCAAAAAAGACTAATGATGAAGACGAAAATGCTGTAAACAAAAAACCATCGCAAACATAAACAATCTCTCGCATCGTTTGAAAGAGCTAACAGTTAAAAAATGAACTCCGTCAAAAAAAACACTGGACGAGTTTGTCCCAATTTAATGTAGCAGAGCGTTGTTAGGACCAATTTTGGTTTTCTTTGTAAAGTTTTGCAATTAATTTTGACAAAAGAAATCATTTTTTTCTGGTTTTTGTTCCGACCATTAAAAGTTTGTTCCGACATTTGCATTCGGGTGTGTTTTGGTTTTTTTTCCACGCAAAATCAGGTACGAAAAATAATCATCAGACAGTGTTTAGTAACATTTCATACTAAAACCCTTTCAGTCGTGATTCAAACCACATTAAAAATTCTTGAAATTGTTTCTTGTGTCGAGAAAAACCAGTTTAAAATTTTGATTTTTTTCGTCTAATTTCGAGCGAAGGAAGCGAGCAATCAGGCTTACAAGAGCTTAATTCAGCAAAATTTAAGCCCTAAGAAATTAACTTTTAGCAAGTAAATTAGTTTTCGGAGTTCTGTAGCTCCATTTTAGCAACCAAAAACTTCAAAAACTTAGAGAATTTCTGAAAAATTTTTGTTTTGTTTTTGTTTTTTGTTTTTGTTTTCAATTTTCTAAAAAAAAAAACATTTTTTTTAGAAAATTGAAAAGAAAAACAAAAACTAAAAACAAAACAAAAATTTTTCAGAAATTATCTAAGTTTTTGAAGTTTTTGGTTGCTAAAATGGAGCTACAGAACTCCGAAAACTAACTTTACTTGCTAAAAGTTAATTTCTTAGGTCTTGAATTTTGCTGAATTAAGCTCTTGTAAGCCTGATTGCTCGCTTCCTTCGCTCGAAATTAGACGAAAAAATCAAAATTTCAAACTGGTTTTTCTCGACACAAGAAACAATTTCAGGAATTTCTAATGTGGTTCGAATCACGGCTGAAAGGGTTTTAGTATGATATGTTACTAAACACTGTCTGATGATTATTTTTCTTACCTGATTTTGCGTGGAAAAAAAATTACCTATATTATTTTGAATTACAAAAACGCTTAAAATTTACCTGAAAAAAAAAGCTTTTGTAGTTTTTTAAAGACTATGGCCGGAACATTCTGTGCTACTTGCACAGTAACCGGCTATCCTTGTTAATTTACTTATTTTTATTTAAGAAGAATGACTCAGCTCAATGTAAGTCAACATTATTTCAGGTCTGCACTTCAACGAGCACTTCCCGGCGCCTCCTGCCATCTTCAGCAACGGAATGATTCTGGTTTTGAAACCATTCAGGGTGGAACTACAATGCAAACTAAAAGTGCTCCACTTCCCTTTTGACCGACAGGCGAGTCCAACTTTGAAATTGAAATTTGGGGGCTCACAGTTTTGTTTTCCTTAAAAATCATAGGCCTTAGGCCTGGTAACAGAAAATATGGGCGTTTAAATGGCCTGAAACTCTCATATCTGCTGTTCCTAGAACTTCCACCATCATTTTCAGCATTCTGATTTGCGAAGGATGAATGCACAAAAATTCTCAACCACTCAACGCCCTTTGAAACATCCAGAAAAAGTTGGTTTTGGCGCTTCAAGATTTTGGATATTGAAATCTAATCGGCTGACAAACTTTTCGGGCTTTCCCTTCTTTTGGCATGAGGAATTCTCCCTGAAATTTGAAATAATTCTACAAAAAATTGTACACAGAATTCTGAAATTAAATACTTGGGATCTTCTGGAGTCATTTTTCTAAATATTAGTGCGTAAAAACCACTGTAAGCATAATTAAGGGGGAAAAGACATCGCTTCCTGCTAATTTATCAATTTTTACTAAAATATTATTAAATTAACTAGCTGAACTAAATAAATTAAATTATTGAATAAATTTCTAATAGGCATTAAAATTATTTGTGTGTTGACATCTACTTCAATTAGTTCTTTTTTAAGTCAAACATTATCAAATAGCCTCGATTGCGGAAAATGGTTTTTTAACGACTTTTCTAGTTTGATTCGTAAGAGCTGGCTAATCTGGGCAACAGCTTTGTGATACACTGTATGTACTAATATACTTTTAAGTACCATTTACCTTTTGCTTACAAAACAGCAAGATACTTTATATCTATTTAACTGGACGGTTCTGTATTTGATTTTTACGACATTATTTTGAGAATAAAGAGGGAACACTTGCTTTTCATAGTTACTTTTGGCTGTTTGGCAGACAAAACAGGTGGAAAATGTTACTAAGTGGAAATTATTGGAACTGATACTCAAGTTTAATTCCAAAAATAAGTATAAAAATGAAAATCCATGATTCCGATTTGTTTTAGAGTCTTATTATTCAGAAAAATCTAAAACACGTGTATTTCAGAACTCAAAAAATTAGTTTTCTGAAAATTTAATAGGACTGAATTGGGATCGGTAGGATTACAACTCATGATGATCATAAAAAGCAGTTAGTATGTTCCTGGGTTGATGTCCATAGAAGAAAAATTCTTGTCATACAGTTTCATTTATTAAATCTATGGAAAAAATGCTTGTCATACAGAATTTATAGTAATTTTAAAAAGTGTTTTAAAAATTTTTATTGAACATTTTAGGTCCATTTGCCTCTTTTGAAGCTTTCTGGAGGCTTAAAAAATGATTTAAAATTTTCGATAAAAAATGCTTATCATACATTTTTCATGTATGAAAATTATAAGATAATCATTTTGTCATAGAAAAAATAAAATTATCAAAAATCTCTAAGAATCTCATAACTTTAAGAAGATTTAATTAGTTTTCAAGTCATGATCTTTTCATACAATTTTAGGGATAAAAAGTCTGATTAAAAAATTCAAAATTTAATTCCAGAGTCTAGAAAAAATGCTTGTTATAAAATTTCACAGAATGGAAAAAATGCTTATTTTGCTATTTTCATACACTTACTTTTGCTCTATGAAAATGGATGAAAGAATAAGCATTTTTTTCATATTTGAAAATTGTATGATAAGCATTTTTTGTCAACCCGGGTTACAGTCCTTTTTTAATCTAATTGAGTTAGGACCGAGGTGTATAACTCATAGAGTAATTTCGGATAGGGTACACCGTCTGCTCGTCACGCTATCTTATTTTCGGCCGGATAGATTCGTGCAACTTCTTAGTCTAATACCGATCCTAATCTTACTCTTATACTATCTAGTCTCAGGTTGTTTAACTAGTCTCTGCTAGGCTCAATAGATCTAGGGTATACTGGTTTATTGCGGCTGCTGAAGTACTCGGGAGAGTTCAATTAATTTCTAAGTTAAATTCAAATCTCTCTGGTGCTGAAATTACAAGTAATTTCAGCACTTACAAATAAGTGGATTGTTAGTCAGATGGATCATGATTGGTTAATATTAAATACTTTACATTGGTAAAATATCTAATTTATCCAATCATAAAATGTAGTTTAGATCAGGTTCCACCCATCCGGGTTTTACAGAGTTTTTTAGAATAGTCTTTCTGCAATTCAAAGGATGGATGATGGACGTTGGTATTTGGCGAACATCTTATTTCTTCTGGGTTTTTTTATTAGAGAAGTCCCAGATTCAATCGTTGTGTCTTCTCAAGACAACGACTGGGTTTTCGCAATAAACTCAAATCTGATTTCAGAATGGTTGGCTATGTCAGGTTTTTCTGTTTCATTGATGACAACTTCTTTGTGTTTTGATCTTGTCTGGGAATGGCGTGGAGATTGTGCGTGGAGGGGATGCCTGGTTACTCGGATCTGTACGTATACTTGAACATCGAGGTGGTCATTGGTCTAGTTCAATGAAGTCCTTTTCTGCGAAGTCAAGTCGTACTCTAAATCCTTTGAGTTGTGATTGTGGGCGGCATATTGATTGTGGTTGGCCATTCTTTCTCGAGTGTAGTGAGGTCGTTTTGTCTTTGGATGTTCGTCCTTGGTGTTGTATTCTGATCTATGTATTGCATAATGTAATTTACATTTTATAAAACTTTTATTAGTTTAATATTTTTTAATTATGATTTTAGTTAGTTGTTTTCACAAAAGCTTTTTGTTTTAGTTCAGTTATTTTGAAGAGTTACTCACCCTTGAGTAGCTCTTATTAAAAATAGGAGTGTGTGTCACAAAGCGTGGATGTAGCGCGGTGGGTTAGGCCGGCTATAGAGCATGCTCAGGACGTCCTTCCTGGTGGGTTAGGCCAGGAGTGGGAGTATGATTGCATGCGGTTTTTGTGAGAGGTCCTGTTATGTGACAACGTTTTATGTTGGGTTTGTTGTGGTTTTTCTTGTGTTTTGTTGGTTGTGTCCTTTTTTCAAAAATCAAATTGTTTGTGGTATGGGTTTGTCTTTCGACTTTTTTGTGTTTTATTATTTCTTTCTTAGACTTTATAATAGTCTTCAAAAGAATAAATTATCCAGTTTTAAAGCTTGTGGGGGAAAAATTTATAAATTAAATTACTGCATTGGTATTATATTTATTTAATTGTTGGTGCAAAAATTTAATAGGGTTTTAAACAGTTTTGAAGAAGTTTGCTATTTTTTATTTTTCTTTTGTGAATTTTTCAGATGATCGTTGGATGAAGGCTAAAATTCTAAATAAAACATGGATAAAGAATGGTGAGTTTCTAATATTTAAATTAGTTAGTAATATGTATAATTCATACTTACCTGTTAGTCGTCGGGGAAGAAACCGTGGGGGAAGATGTCGTGGATGAGATCTGAAGTTGTTAGTAATTTAGCTAAAATGCGGATGATATTTTTAGTTTGAAGCAGTGGCCAAAGCAATTGAAGTGCTTTAATGGTGGTTAGTTCTTCAGTGCCAACTGCAAATTCATAAGGTGTGTTTTGGATTAGATTATATAATTTGTGATTGAATTTAGTGTTATGGATGAATTCTAAAATGGGGATTTCTATAGGTTGTACAAACTCGTGTGGGATAAGGAAGGGTCGGGATTCTTCTGCGTTGAAGGTCTTGGTGATTGGACAAAAAATATACATTTGGGTTATGGGATCATAATTTCGAAGAATACCATGAAGGTTAGTATCTTTAATACAATATGTGAAGTTAAGAAAGAATGGTGAGGTGTATTTGGAATTGATGAATTGAAAACGATGGTGTGGTTGTCTGGAGGGAGTGTGTAGGTCAAAGTGATTTTGGATGAAACAATAATAAGTATATGTGTGTGTTTGTTTAGTGCGCAACATAATATCGTGTGAGCAGTGCAAATCTCTTTCATGTGGTGCAAGGAAATGAAAGGTTAGTGAAAATATTTGGAAGCGTTCTTTAAAACTTTCGTAGGCTTGTGTGTCTGTTAGTGCTTCTGAAATAATGTGGTCAAACTTGCGATCGAAGATATTTAGTGTAAATACATATGGTGTTTTAATGAAAAATTTCTCGGTGATTTGTGGGTTAGCGAAGCGATCGTCGTCTAAGAATTGATCTTGGTTAGCTCTGATGATGTTATGATCGTAATATTCTAGTGTATATTCATTAGCTCGGGGTGCAGTGTGTGTTTTTAGTGATTTTTTATATCCAATGTAGGTAAATTGTCTAGATGTTAGTGGTGTAGTGAGTCGATATAGCATGTCCTTATTTCGTTCTATATCGATGTGAGTGTTAGATAATGGTAAGCAAAGGGGATTAGTAAAATGATAATATGAGGTCCAAGGAAGGGTAGGCATTAAAACGTATTCGTCTACAAAGTTACGTGTCTCGTTAGTGTCGTGAGGGGTGTTTAAGGTGTATTGTGGAAATGAGGGTAAGGTGATAGCTAAAAATTCTTTTGTGTTAGTGTGTTTTGGATGGTTGATATATTCACGGGCTGTTCCATGTTTCGCTGGGAAAGGATGGTTGGGGAACTTTCTTTTAAAAGTGCGGTAAGCTCTATTAGTGCTAAGTGAAGATTCAGTAGTTGTGGATGATGGTGCTAATGATTCGGTATAAATTGAAGAGGGTGTAGGGGTAGGAGGGTTGGATGAATCTATTGTGGATGAGATTTGGTTTATGGTTGGGGTGTCAAGGTGGTAGGGTTGTTGTTGTAGGGTAATGAAATTATCTAGTTCTGGGGAGATTCGGGGGGTGCCTGGAGAATGAGATGATTGGTCTGAGTGAAGTGAGGAGTAGGTTGGAGTGACTTGGGAAGCATAAGAGGGTGTAGAATTGGTTGGGTCAGGGTTATTTGGTAGTATGGGTTGAAAAGGGGGTTGGGAAAAATTTGAGGAGTTGGTGTGAAAATTATTTGATTGAGATGGTTCAGAGTCGGCAAATTCATCGGGGGTTTCAATATTCGGGTTATTGAGTTGTGAGATGGAGTATAAAACTGAGATGTGTGAATTAGTATCGGAATTCATGCCGGATGTTACATTACT